GGAAGGAAGGAAGGAAGGAAGGAAGGAAGGAAGGAAGGAAGGAAGGAAGGAAGGAAGGAAGGAAGGAAGGAAGGAAGGAAGGAAGGAAGGAAGGACTTGCTGCACTATGTTCCAAGTTTGCCCCCAGGGACTGGCCTGTCCCAGAGCTAGGGCGGCAAGAAGCCTCTCTTAGCGCACGAGTCCAGAACAGAATGGCAGGATGTCCAAAGCCGAGATTTCCTGAGTATTTTGGAATAGCTCCATGAAAAACATGACAAGAGTCAAAGACCCTTCCCGTCTCCTCCTCATTCTCTTGATGACGCGAAGCTTATACACTACACTCTGGAAGAATACAAGGGTCAGGGACTGGGTGAGGAAAGACCCCAGCATGTGTAATAAAAGAGGATGTGATGCAGACCTTTATAGGAGAAGATTCCGTGGGTGGAGATTGCTCAGGGGAAAATAATCTAGTTTCAAACGGAGTGCTCAATGGTGCTCATGCGCAAACCAGTGGAGTATAACCTGGCCATGAGTAGAGCTTCCTCTTGTGATGAGGGCTGTGTACACGCAAACACACATGTGCTCATGCTCAGCTGCATGGAGTCACACACAAATTTCTTTGAGCCATGCACGCAAACAAATCTGTCATAGAHGCAGTGCACATAAGGAAATGTGCGTTCTCACACATGACTGACTTTGGGCTTCCAGTGACCACCCCGAGGGCCATAGCACTTAGGGGGCAAAAAGGGCCCTAAATGCCCACAGGCATTGCTTCAGGTGCCCCTGCCCAGCGGCTGCCCAAAAAAATCACYGAATGAAGGAAAGTAAACACATTTATATATAATATAGAGAGAGGAATTTCTCTCAAACGGGGATATAAGGAGGCAGAAATCTGAAAGCAAGTGGTGCAGCTCATGCACCAAGGGAGGGAATGGTGCTCTAATGACATCAGTGGCCATTAGAGGAAGCCAGGAGGAAGGGAGAGAGAGAAGGATGCGACACGTCCCCTTGGACCAGAGCCCTTCAGCATCCTACTGAAAACTACAGGGTTGGGAGAAATTGTGACACTTCCTGCAAACAACCACAGAGAAGTGTCCCGGGTCAATGTTCCCTGCCTACAGACAACTTCTTTGGCACTTGGTCCACATCTTCTGATGTTACTGACACATTCCTGCCCGGAAGTCCTTGAGCTTCCAACCACGACACTTTACAGGAGCCTTCACAGGAAGGCAGGTCTGGCAGAAACAAGGAAATGAAAGACAGCAATGCAGGAAACCATCACACAGCCCATATGATTAGTTGGGATTCTTTGCATTTGAGATTAGCTTGTCAGGAAATTATTACCTCTAGTACATGTGCCTCTGGGCCTGGGGCAGTGCAGGACCAGTATAAAAGGCAGGCCAAGTCTTCACTCTCTCATCCACTTCTCTCGCCGCCTTCTCCTTGRCAACCAGGTGAGCTGGAAGACTCTCCTCTTCCTCCAGGATGAGATCTTGCTTCAGCGGACATCTCATCTCTGTCCTATGCTGGGACTTGGGCCTTCTGGCCTTCTAGTTATGGGAAGGGGGAAGGTGGAGAGGGTCTAGCATTGAGGGAGGCTGAGGTGACATTGGGGCTGGGAGCTAGGCAGGAGCCTTTCTGGGCCTGGCAACTCCTCACAAGTTCTTTGGGCCTGAGACAGAGCACAATCCCTTGTGCCTCCTTTCACAACCTTGACTTCCCAGCCCAGCAACTGCCTTGGCTCTCTCATGGCAGCGTGCCAGGCTGCGCCTCGCACACTCAGGTGCTCTGCTTCCCCCCACCGTCTCTCACAGGTGCACCGCCAGCTCCTCAGACATGTCCTGCTACGAGCCCTGCATGCCTTCGTGTCGGCCCTGCGGCCCCACCCCGCTGGCCAACAGCTGCAACGAGCCCTGCGTGCGGCAGTGCCAGGACTCCACCGTTGTCATTGAGCCCTCTCCCGTGGTGGTGACCCTGCCCGGGCCCATCCTCAGCTCCTTCCCGCAGAACACCGTCGTGGGATCGTCCACCTCTGCTGCCGTTGGCCGCATCCTCAGCTGCGAGGGAGTGCCCATCAATTCTGAGTGCTGTGACCTCTCCAGGTTTTCCACTCGCTACTGCGGCAGGAGRTGTCCTCCCTGCTAAAGCTGATGCTGTCCTGAGGAAGTAGCTTCTGGCCATCGCTTTCCAAATGGCTCAGCATTCGTGCTTCCCCTGCCAAGGAAGACCTCAAGGGGCCAGCCTGCTGGGCTTCCTGAAAACATGGCCCATGTGTGACTTTCCTGTCTTTCCCTCTCTCCTTTCCCCCTCTTGCCCTTGCTGTGTACTACTGCCCTGAGCCACAAMCCCCCTAAAGCCAGCTGTGGAGACGTGCTGGCCCCTCTYCCTCCGTGGGGCAGGAAGACAGATCCCTCRTGGCAACTCCACTGTGGTCACTAGGCCTCCACTCAGGGCAACCTTGTTTCCTTCTGTTGACTCATTAAAGTTCTTCTGCATCCCACCTTGAGCCTCTGTGTGGTCTTTCCTCTGGGGGTGATTTCCCAAACTGCTCGGTGGGAACCGAGTTGCTCTGCAACGGTGTTGTGGAACGATCAAATGGGTATTTTTCAGCATTCCTGGTCGAAAGGCAGTGTGGCACACGCTGCAGTGGATGACTTTGGGGCACAGTCCTTTGGAACTGAGGAAGATGTCCACAGATCCTCTTGAGTCAGTGGCCATTAGGACCTGCCTTGCTGCATCTCTGTGCAGAACTGCTCTTCTCCTCCTTGGAGCATGTCTTGTGGAGAGAAAGCCCAATCAGTTCTGGGGTGAGAAGTGGATCTCCTCAGTCCTAAGGAGAGGTGATGGTGGGAGGAAGCTGTGCTTCTGCACCCAGCAGCAGCAWCTGTGAGCTGACTATGGCAGGCAGGTCTTGGTTTATGAGGACCTTCCCACTTTGATGCTCCCAGGCACAAGCTTCATCAAGAGCCCCAGCATAGCTGATGCCTCTTCCGGATTTGGGCATAAGAAGGAAGATGTGGTCCTTGAGGACTGGGACTGTGCAAATCATCTTTTCCCAAGCAGGATGGGGAAACCAAGACAGCTGCTTTTCCTTCCAGAAGGGTAGCTCGTGGAAACCGTCATCCATCTCCTATCCTCTTACTTGTTGTGCTGGCTGTTGCAAGTGKCCTCTCACTTGCAACAGGAACATACCCAGATATTTGGAAAATATCCAAATATTTTAGATCTAGCTACTGAAATTTTACGTTCAGCTACTGAAAAGAGGTTTGCCACAAACCTCACTGATTTTCATTTACAGTATCGTTTGTGGATTTTTGGGTTTTTTCTTTTTTTTTTGGTGTGTGTCAATCTCAGCAATGTTAAAAATACAGGACTCCTCAGGGATCAGACAGTTATGATCCTTATGTTTTGAAATCTAGGATAGTATCACCTGAAAACTGATACACTCTGCAGTAACCAAGCAAACCCACAAATGTTGGTAACATCCTTTGTGACATGATGCTTCAGGCCCAACATATCTACAATTCACCAATGGGTAATAAAAAACAAGGTATCCACCTGATCATCCACACCAACCTTACCTTCTACTTAAGTGTTAGCAGTCCCTATCCAGGAACTTGGACATGGATCGGTGAAACTAATACATCATGGAAGGAGAGAACAGTCCCCTGTTTGAGCACAAAATGACCAAAATGTCTTTTACTTTTGTCCTCTCACACAGTTTTACACACATAATAGTGTCTCATAAACCCAACACGGGTTATGTTATCCACAGGGACTGGAGCTGCTAGAACTCATTACTGGAGTCTGTGTGGCTATTAACTGATGAGGCCATGGCTCTCTTGCTGCGGTCAGCAATATGCAGTTTAAAATCCCCTAATTCTCTGCTGCAACATCAGCAATAGTTGTCCGAGGATTTCCTGCAATATCTTACCTCTGAGGTTTGTGAATTTTCCGTTAAGATTCAATGGGACAATGTTACCATTAGCAAGCTATATTCAAAATTGTTCACAATGGATGATACCCATATACGATCAATGACTTAAGTCCCATTGGAAAACCTGCCCAGTTAGGGATCTTTCCACTGATCTGGGAGACGTTGAACTGTGCACACGAGTGTTAAATTCCATGGACTTTGAGATCCTTACACAAACAAGCTATAATCGGCCAGATCACGGATATGGCAAAGGGAATGCACACAACCACTAAAATCTTGACAATTAATCTAAAGCCTTGGAAAAAAATTACAACACATTTGAAGAAGTATACTGGTGTTCACAATTTTGCTTCTTACACTAGCAGTGTCAATGTTTATGTAACCATAAAGCCTTTGTTATACATGAATATGAACAACAAGCTAATTGGATCTGCAGTGGAAATCCTGCTAACTGTGTTAGGAACCCTATCAGTAGACTAGTGTACGGATTATAAAGGTTAATTTACCCAAATTGTATACTCAGGGTAGGAAACAACCACAGTCTGAGTGGAACCACTTATTATCTGACTCTAAGAAAAGAAATTAAAGAACAAAAGCATGTCTGTGTGTGTTTCTGTATGTGTGCGTATGCCTAAAATCTTAGATACACGTGGCATCTCCTAATCACAGAATCACAGAATGGTTGATGTTGGAAGGGCCCTCTAGAGATCATCCAGTCTAACCCCCCTGCTCCAGCAGGCACACCTAGAGCATGTGGCACAGGGTGGCATCCAGGTGGGTTTTGAAGACCTCTAGAGAAGGAGACTCCACAACCTCCCTGCGCAGCCTGTTCAGGACTCTAGAACCGTCACAGTGAAGAAGTGTTTCCTTGAGTTCCTGTGGAACTTTTGGTGCCTCAGCTTGTGGCCGTTTCCTCTAGTCCTATTGCTGGCCACCACTGAAAAGAGGCCAGCCCCCTCCTCCTCACTGCCTCCCTTGAGGTATTTATACACACTGATCAGGTCCCCCCTCAGCCTCCTCTTCTCCAGGCTGAACAGGCCCAGCTCCCTCAGCCTTTGCTCCTAGGGCCCAGGCCCCCGATCATCCTTGCGGCCCTGCGCTGCAATCTCTCCAGCAGCTCCACATCCCTCTTGTACTGGGGAGCCCAGAACTGAACACAGCACTCCAGATGTGGCCTCACCAGGGCTGTGTAGAGGGGGACGATCACCTCTCTCGACCTGCTGGAGATGCTCTTCTTAATGCACCCCGGGATCCCGTTGGCCTTCTTGGCCACCAGGACACACTGCTGCCTCATGGTCATCTTGTCACCCACCATGACGCCGAGGTCCCTCTCTGCGGGGCTGCTCTTCAGCAGGTCCACCCCTAATCTGTACTCGTGTCCGGGGTTATTCCTCCCCAAGTGCAGGACYCTGCACTTGCCCTTGTTGAACTTCAYGAGGTTTCTAGCCGCCCAGTTGTCCAGTCTGTCCAGGTCCCTCTGGATGGCAGCACAGCCCTCAGGGCTGTCAGCTACTCCTCTCAGTTTGGTATCRTCGACAAACTTGCTGAGGGAGCACTCCAGCCCTTCATCCAGGTCGTTAATGAATAAGTYGAACAGGACCGGAACGAGGACCGACCCCTGGGGGACACCGCTAACTACAGGCCTCCAACCGGACTCCGTGCCACTGACTACCACTCTCTGCACCCTGCTATCGAGCCAATTCCTAATCCGTCTCCCCGTCCACTCATCTATCCCACACTGGATATCCCACACTCCACACTGGGAGCTTGCCCAGGAGGATGCTGTGCGGGATGGTGTCAAAAGCCTTACTGAAGTCCAGATAGACGACATCCACCGCTCTGCCCTCATCTATCCAGCTAGTCACTCCTTCATAGAAGGCGATCAGGTTAGTCAAGCATGATTTCCCCTTGAAATCCATGTGTAATTACATGAGGGCTCTACAGTGAGGGCTATTAGGATCAATATGCTGGCCACACTTGTAAGGAAGCCCAGAACGTAGTTTGTCTCATTTGCAATGGGAGTGATGACTGCTTCTTATTCAGTCTGGCATCCATCATAACTTTCAGGACATAGAATCATAGGATCATTTTGGTTGGAAAAGATCTGCAAGATCTTCGAGTCCCACCATAAATCTTTCAACACCATGCCTGCTAAACCATGCCCCTAAATACCTCGTCCACATGTTTCCTTTACATTGACAGCAACAAAGGCTCCACCACTTCCCTGGACAGCCTCAGTTCTACTCTTTCCATGTAGATTTTTTTCCTGTTATCTAATGTGAATCACCCCGGTGCACCTTGAAGCCATTTCCTCCTGTCCTTTTTGTAGTTATTCTGGAGAGGAGATTGCACCCACCCCACCCGCCACATGCAACCTCCTTTCAGGGAGTTGTAGAGAGTGATAAAATCTACCCGGAGCCTCCCCTTCTCCAAAATAAACACTCCCAGCTCTTTCAGCTGCTCCTCAAAAGGTCTATGTTCTAGTTCCTTCACCAGCTTTGTTGACCCTCTTTAGACATGTTCCAGCACCTCTGTGTGTTTCTTGCAGTGAGGAGTCCAAAACCAAACACAGCATTAGAGGTGCGGCCTCAATAGCACCAAGTACAGGAGGACAATCACTTCCCTGGTCCTGATGTGTACACTATTCCTGATACAGGCCAGGAGGCCACTGGCCTTCTTGACCACCTGTGCATACTACCGGCTCATGTTCATCTGGCTGTTGACCAGCACTCACAGATACCTTTCAGCTGAGCAGCTCTTCAGGCACTCTGCCCAAGTCTGTAGCTTTGCATGGGGTGGTTGCGACCAAAGTACAGATCCCAGCACTAGGCCTTGTTGAACCTCATACAGGTGGTCTCAGCTCATTGATCTAGTCTGTCCAAATCCCTCTGCAGAGCCTTCCATATCAACAGTTCCACCCATCTTGATGTTGCCTGCAAATTTGATGTTGTCTGCAGAGAGTCAAGAGCAAGGCTGGACTGTATGTTGAGCCTTGAGGTCTGGATGCCTGCAGTTTCTTGCCTCTCCACATCACTGATGGGCGAGTAAAGAGTAAGCAACCCAAACAGTCAGATTGCACAAACTCTGCCAATTTGGCAGAAAAACAATGGAGAAACTTTGGGTGGTTCCCCCAACAAGATAGGAAGGTGGGAAGCTGCTTGGGGTGGGGGATGCTCAGGAGGAAGGGCAGGAGAAGAGCACCTGGGGC